CAATAATTTTAATATATTTTAATATATAATTTTAATAAAAGACTTTAATAAAAAAATAAATTTGAATTCACAATTAACAATAGTACATGCGACAAAAATAACACAATATCACTAGGGTGATCCCAATGCCCCAATAAGGCACATCCCGAGAGAGCGATAATCAAACAAGCCAACAATCATCGCAGTGGTGGATGGATATAACAGTGGATTTAATCTAAAAAATCGTGAACATCTCAAAACACTCAAAAATATAATCACAAAAGCAGCAGTTTGAAATATACAAGGTAGGTTGGATTAGGTTATACCGGCGATTCCAAGGGATCCGTATTATTAAAAACCCAAGGGTTAAAACTATTTCATATACACACGGTAATAAACTCAAATTATGTATAGTCATAGCTTACAGTTCTGTAAAGTTACAGAAATAAAATTCATAAAATTCGAATTTTCCGAATACCTTTTACACATAACGTATATTGTAGTTATAAGTATCGCTTCCCCACATTTTCACAAATAACAATACATATAATAAAACTATGAAAATATTTCTTACTGAATTTAGCAAACTGATTTTGTTTAGATAATTGTGAAAAAATGGCGTTATTTAAATTTTTTGTTTTGTATAAAATATTAAACCTTAATATAGTTTATTATGGCTTTAAACAAAAGAAATAGATCAGAATATTTGTCTTTATGCAATCGAAAATAATTTTGCGAAAATGAACTTAGCAGTGAATGAGTGAAAAATTAAGTTTATATAAGATCCAGGTGACTGGCGACCACATTTTCGAATCTGTCAAGCATTCCATCTATCTACACATTGCCATTTTGAACAACAACGATATCAGCCTGGACATCACTTAAAGTATTGCGATTGCCAATAGAAATAATACTCTCTCTTTCAACCGACAATACTTACAATACAATACTAAAACAAAACTACGCATCTTCAAATCAAACATAAAATGTGTTCTCTTCTATGGCTGTGAAAAACTTCCAATCGCATTGAGTCAAAAATACAGACCTTAATAATCAAGTGCTTGCGCAGAATACTTGGTATAAGATGGCCTAAAAGAATAAGAAGCCGTACACAGCAAGAAACCGTTCCAGTTCAGATTGGTCGACGCAAATGGTGTTGGATTGGCCACACACTTCGAAGACCTGCAAACCACATTACAAGAACAGCACTCCGATGGAACCCCCAAGGCTCTAGAAGACCTGACGCTAGATAGATAGAGAACTTAATAATGCAAATTATAACTGGAATGATATATGCCGCGAAGCACCCAATAGAGTTAGATTTAGATCTATGATAGAGGCCCTATGCTCCACGAGGAGAAGAGGACAACAGTAAGTAAGTAACTGTTTCTGGCGATAACAGAAATTTAGACGACTACTAGAAATCCAGTTGCAGATACAAACTCAAACTCAGTCTTAAACTAATATAAAAACCATTAAAAACTCAAAAAATTTAGAAAATATACTATTTCTTTTCGCAAGGTCTATTTTATTCTTTTCGATACATTGTTGTTTTTGTAGGCGGCAAGGATTTGTTTGTGTAGTCCCTTTTGGGGATGCTAAACGGTACTTAGTCGTCGAACTGCAGGACGTAGACCCTAGCCCATTCTTGGAGCCTCAATACCTTGTAATAGTTTACTTAAATGTGATTGATTCTACACTAATATTTCAATAAGAAAATGTAAGATTTATAAGATTTCAACTCACATAATCAGATTCGAATCGTTTATAATGATTTTATATGCAATTACATACATATATATTGTATAATTTAGCAAAGAAAATTATATGTTATTTAAGCATTACTCATGTAATAATAAAAGTGTAATCATATATATTTTTATATAAATGTGAAATATATACTAACATTAAACACAACACAAAAAGACAATAAATTTCACACACAAAGTGATAAATGCGAAGATAACAAATTTTAATGCAAAATAATGACAAACATGCAGACATGAAAATTAAACTTGATGAAATCATCTTGTCAATTTTGATGCTCAATTAATGGGAGTAAACTTAAAACTCGTATAATATATTTGTATATACATATAACATATTTGAACTCTCTACTTTAATTTCTACATAAAGTTTAAAAAAAAACAAACTCTTAACTTGACTGCAAAATGAATTTCAGTTAATTTAATTATGAATTGCATTTTTACATAGAAGAGAAAAACTTTATAAATTATATAAAATATTGATAATTTTAGTATTTAGTATTGCAAAATATACAGTTTGTATAGAAAAAACTATATAAATAAAAATATTAGACTTGTGTTGATAAGATATAAAAGATAAGCGTAAATTACTGAGAAATATTTGACGTCAGAGTTTTTTTTTTTTACTGTTTTTATGCGAATTTAGATATTCTGAAGTGTTTGTCTCCAGTTTGAAAAATATATCAAAATAATTTGCGCAACAAGCAAAATAATTGTAACAAATTAGTGCAAAAATTTTATTTATTAAAACCGCATAAACAATTTATAGTTATAACAGTGAAGCAATAAATTATTTTTATTAAAATAAATAGTCATCTATTCCAATAGATAAAGAAACGAAAATATTTTCATACTTAGTCTAGTATTAAATTGTATCTTTAAGATCATTGTCACAATTAAAAAATTATCTTTAAAGTTTTTAATAAACTAAAGTCAATTTTTTTCAACAATTTTATTAAATATACTTTATTCTTAATTAACAAGTTGCTAGAAAGTATATTACACAACATGCTGTTGTTGTTGTAACCCGCAGGGACTTGATGTCAAGTCCCTTTGGGTGGATTTGAACGGTACTTGTTCGTCGGTGATTACGCGTCACTCTGGGACCTATACCCGACCGTTCTTGAAACCTTCAACATACAACATAGTATTAATTAGTATACAATTTGACGAAAGATGAAAATTTATTCTATAATTAATATAATTTGTAATTTCAAAAATTTTTTAATTTCAAAAAATTAAAAGAAAATTAATTATTTAATTTTAAATTAGCCGCCAGCACTCAATATGGAACTTTTTTATAAATAAATTTTGTTTAACAAATATTATCTACTTCATACATAAATTATAAACAATAGCTTTTCAACATTTAAAAACTAAATATATATTTTTATATCTAATCGACGCTTATTTTAAATCATTTAGCGTTAATTACATATCAAGAATTTTTACAGGTAAAAATAATAAACTCGTGAAAAAAAACTGAGCAATTTAAAGTCTTTGCAATAAAATAAATGCAAGTGTAAACAAATCAATTGTGATATAATTGTTTTAATGTAAATATTTATAATAACAATTTTATACGTAATCAGAGAGAAAATTTTCCCAACATTGTTATCTATTAATAATATAATATATTCAAAGAACAAGTTTGTTATTGAAGTTCATGGACATAGTATATCTTGCACAATATTTATGGAGTGTTATAATTGATTTAGGATTAGGCACACGTATCTTATTGAAAAACTGAGAAAAACAAACAAACAATGGAAAATTTTTAATCTAAAAATAATACAAAACTTTCATAAAAATAGATATTTAAATAAAATCAATTTATTATATATATTTAAATGAAATATTTTGCTTCATTTTAAAGTAATAAAAAAGATTCAACGACTTACTAATATTCTAACATATATCGTCTTCAAAAAGAAGTGACAGTATATAATCCATTATCATCAACTTGTATTAATGTCGGGTAAAGACCCGACAACTTTAATATTAAGGGTTGATATAGAAATTTTCATTAGAATATAGTAAATTTCAAATTTAAGAAGATATTTTTCAGCAATTGTTGTTATTCTAATTGTATTGTATTTATACTAAGTTAATAAATACAAACAAACTTCTTTTTCAATCATTCAAATGTAAAAACTATGAATAAAATAAAAAAGTTCCTAAAGATAACCTAATAAAAAATTAAAAATATAATAATAATAGTAATAAATTATATAAATATAATAAATAAATAATAATAATAAATATATATTATAATAAATATAATAATAAAAAATAAAAATATAATATTTTTAATTATAAACAATATCATTTTATATTTAAAATATTAAAATATTTTATATATTTTATTTTATAATATTTTAAATAAATATAATATGCAATAAATTTAAATAATTTTAATATATTTTAAATAAAAAATAAAATTTGTCTAATAGCCTACAAAAAATTTTTAACATTCAATGAAAAACGGACAACAACAACAATGTTGTTTTCTGTACTATAGAAGTTTATTGTATGTACCAAATACAACCAAGTGAATAGTTCGAAAAAATAAGGTATCCAATACTATTGAATCATTGAGAATTAGAGAGGTTTAGTAAATTAGTTAACTACAACCACAAAATTATTGAGAATTAAAATCTTGTAAGCTAATTTTTAATTTTCAACATTACTATTTGAATGGAGAATATTACAACAATAATTTAACTAAATACATGTACAGTGACTGGCTTAATTACTTTATTGATTTAAACTCGAATCCATTAAAGTCTCATTGCGAAAAGATGTATTGAGCAGGTGAGCATTAGATTATTTTTTTTACGGAGTCCGAAGAATTATTGTTTATAAATGTTAAATATTTAACGTAACTGTAGTTAGCACAATTATAAAATGTTCTTAATACCACCAATATCACAGAGGGTCTCATGTTATTTATTCACAATAAACTTTTTGTTTGAAGTTAGTAAACACACTTTTCACTAACAAGATTTGCTTCAATATACTACACAATAATAACAATAATGAGTTATGATTCTTTTTTTAATATCATAAAAAAAAATATTAGTAATTTGTTGTTGTTTGTTTAAAAAATTTCAACAAAACTTTAACTGAATAAATTATTAAAATTTATTCGAATACTTCACGTTGTCATTATCACTTGTTGATTTATTTTGTACTTCATCACAGCACATTTTGAACAATTTTATTCACTAAAACTAAAACTAAAACTTCACTTACCGCAAAAAGCCGCCATCGCCACGCATCAATAATGAACTATGCATATCACCATATTCTAGATTGTTGCCACTCGCCAATGGACGCAGACTGCTGCTACTTGTTGTACTTGTTATGCTATTGGAACGATTTCCTTGCCCTAGTGGAGGATATGAGATCAACTGTTGTGGAAATGTTTTCGCTGCATTAGCTGCAGCTATTGGAATTAAAGCACCAGCAGCGTTGCCATTCCCAACCGTGACTGGTGACGGTGCACGCTTTGGCACCGCTGTAAGACGATTGGATTCTGGCGTATGAGCGATGCTTGTGTAATGCTGAAAATGAAATGACAAAATTTATTAATAAAATATAAATGCAATAATAACAACAGCAATAATAATAAATAAAAACGACACATACCATCTGTAACACATCGCACTCCTTGGGCACCACATGCAATGTTAATACCGAAGGCGTTTGCTTGATCATGGACACGATCGTACTGTAGGCAACACCAGCAATTGGTGTATTGTTTACCATTAGAACGCGATCACCCGTTTGTAGGTTGGCATAGTGAGCGGGACCATTCGGTTGAACTTCTTTTATGAAAATGGTTTCCATAGCTTTCACTTGGTACGGATCGGATGCTTCCTACACGAATTGCACACAAAAGAGAAGCAAACGTAAATTTTTGTGAGAAAGTATAAATGTGCACATAAACAAAAAAAAATTTAAAAAAATTAAAAAAAAATAAAATATACAAAATATATATATAATACAGTATAATGTGTAAATAAGATACAAAAAAAACATGAAGTGTGTAAAATTAAAAAAAGAGAAGAAAAAAAATAAAAGTCACCGAAGCATGGCAAAAACAAAAGCAAAAACTGGCAAAATAAAACTTACACAAAAAAATAACAAAACAAAAAAAAGAAAGAGAAAAAAATAATATAAAATGAAATAATAATAACATAAGCCAAGCCAACAGACTGTAGTAGTCTGACGTTATTTACCTGTGGCCAAGAGGGATCATCTTCCGGTGGATAAGCAATGAAATGACGCAGCGTAAAACCAAAACCTTGATTCGGACGTCGTCGTATGACAACAACCTTTGGTTGTATCGACGATGAAGTCGCTGTACTGGAGTTTTGCAACATTTTGGTAATTATGTTTTGACCGCTTCCGAACGTTGTACTTTGCTTAATCTGGCAAGTAACTTTTTGGCCCTTTGGTTACTTTTAGTAGTTGTAAACTGTTAATGACAGAGCGTTGAAACGCGTATCAAACTGTTAAGTGTTTAGTGTTGAGTGTTGAGAACTCCTAGAGCAACTACTACATTTTTAACGCAGTTTTGTAAGTCGTTTACAGCATTTCATAAATTATTCCAGTATTTACTGTTGGCATAAATTTATTCGCAAATGCACCAAATGGTAGAATTTTATGGAGTAGCACCTTCCTTGCATTTAAATGAGTTATCCTTGAGATTTAAGCCAAGTTCCTAGCCTGAATTCGTCAATGTAGGTAGCCACTATTGACTACTTGTTGCGTTAAGCCATCGTTCTTACATTATTTATTGCTTTTTGTGTGTAGCGATAATTTAAAGCCAATCGTTTTAAGCTAAAAAAAAAAAGTAAATTAAAAAAATTAATAAAATTTATAGTTTTTCATACATAGCAAATTTATTTAAAATTCATTTTATGAATTGTGCCATCTATTACGTTTTGACTAAAGATAACATTGATTTATAATGCAGTTATAATCTTATAATCAATCTTCTTTCTGGAAACTAACATAACTCAAACAACTTCTTCATATATGTAAGATTTAGTGAAACGAATTCATTATTTCCGGATTATGAAATGTAAAACAAAAAACTATAATAAAACGTCATAATACATTACATATATTGTGTATATTTTATGTGAATATTCACGGATATTCACTTATTCACCTAAAATTTTAATTACTTTAGTTTATGCAATAAAATTAATTTGCTGAAACACACCACCAGTTCATTTTTATACAATATGTCGTCAATGAATGGATCAGTTTTAAAATTAAAATAAAAAAAAAAAGTAATTGGGATTTTTAAATTCTACTGAAATGTCATAACTATTAATAGTGCCAGAAATATCGAGATAATTTTTCTTTTAAAATTGGTTTATAATAAATTATTTGTGCAAAATATCAAAATATTTACTTATACTTAAAAATAATTAAATGTTTGGTATAAACTTAAAAACATTCTTATCACAATTTGCTACAATATTTAAAACTGACATTCTAAATGCTCTCATTACTTAGTGAACAGACTTACTTTTTTGTCGAGAAATTCTTTAGATAAATTTTTAAAAAATTTTAGAAATTATAATTTATTTAATTAATTCACTTGCAAATGACAATTTACTATTTTGCATGAAGATCTTGAATGAATTTTGTATACACAAACTTCTTTATTAAACAAAACAACATTGTTGTTGTTGCAAATTTTTTATTGTTGTTTTAATTTCTTTATTAATTCAGTTGCATAGGACAATTTACTACTTCGCATGAAACATTTGAATAAATTTTGTATATAAAAACTTTTATATTATACAGAACAGCATTGATGTTGTTGCAAATTTGGAAATTTGACCGTTCAATAGCAGTTCAATATACAACAATGTACCGGTATCTACACGTATACTATAAATCAAAAACATTACATTTACATTTATGAGAGAATAAGAGTATAATGCTGTTCCAGATACAAAACAAGCTATATAAAATGAAGAAGTGTATATGTGCTCAGAGAACAAACATACAAAATGAAATTTTCAAATTAGTTATCACAAAACATCAGTTATCACAAATCACAGAAAAAGTTGCTTTCTGAATTTTTAATAACGATATTATAATTGGTATGAGATATATATACGTATATATAATTAGAACGTGTGATTAGAACGTGATTTAAAATTTTTAATGTTATATATTTTAATATTATAAAGACAATAGAACAGTAATCCAAATTTGCAATAAGACTTAAGGTTTCTTATAGAAGATGGAAGCTGCGCTCTCAGAAATCAGAAGCAATTAGATATTTGAGAGAATTATGAGAAAATTGAGAGACAATTAGAGGAATTAGTACGATAATGCCATATTTAAGTAAAAACGTAAGTATGTATTACCTAGTTCACACTATATACAACTAAAGGTTTATTACAGATGTCGGCTATAATACATACTTCACATAACATATTTGCTCTCAGAGCAATCAATCAATAATTTGATTGGAACACGCAAATAATGAGAGCAAACGAAGCAATTTCTGCAAGAATAAGAGAATTACTGCAATAGTTCTGATATAAACCTAGCGAGCAAAAAGGAGAGAAACATTTATTTTTGAGTAAAAACGTAAAGGCTTTGTTTTATTTTCTTGCGCTAAAAGGTAGTAAAAGGGTTTGAAAACAACAAACACATGAACAACAAGAATTTCAGAAGGTGGTCAATTTATGAATATTGGGAATTATTTGTCAAATGTCAATTGGGTATAAGAGAGTTAGAGAACAATAAACACATGAACAACAACAATTTCAGATCGTTGGGCAGTTAAGGAACATCATTATATATTATAATTCTATAATTCTATATAATGAATTATTAATTCATTTATGATTTATATGGTTACTGCACAAAAAAAACTGAATATATAAAGTGAAAATAGTTTCTAAGTTGGTATACAATTGGGTTAGGAAAATAATATATATATTATGTTGAAGCTGTTTTGAGCTAGTGCACTTAAGCACTTATACTCTTTTTTAACTCGAGGTTTGTTCAAAACCCCTCTCTACACCTTGACTAGATTATTGTTTATCACTTCATCAGACTAAGCAATAATTGACCGAAATCAGAACAATAATCAAACAAATTATAATTCTTTCATAAATTTGTACAACTACTGTTGATAAAATATACATATATTTTTTTCGTATATATATAACTATACACTATTTATTATTAATAATATTTTTTGAGAACTTCCTTTAAATATGCAATATATTGTAATTTTGATTACATATCATACAACACACAGCAAAGCACGAGCACGAATTAGCAGTTTTCAGTTGATGAAGATTAATTTGATTGCATAAAATTTCGTTCAAATAAATTATTAAAATAAATTAAGAAATATTTCAACAAATTATATAAATACTATTTCTTAAAAATGTACAACAACAACAACAACAGCTTCAGCAGCAACAACAATGGCAATTACTAGAAATCAACTTTAACCGCAGCAACAAACAGCGCACAGTTGGAAAGTAATTCAAAAAATTGAGCAAAATTCAATTAAATCCGTTGTAAAACTAAAGAAAAAATGGTCAACGACCGTTGGACTTTAAGGAAAACTATAAAAACATACAATTGTGGTCAAATAGACAAACACAATCCAATCCAAGAGTATATTTAAGAGTAAACTCAGTTTAAAAACGTTATTTCGATATAAAAACTACATAAAAATAAAATTAAAAATATATAATTAAAATCAAGGGGTCGATTTCACTCTGCAATATATTACTATTGAGAAAAAAAAAAAAAATATATATATATATATGGTAAATAAATAAACTGCGCAAGTAAGACAGCGAACACTAATAAACCAACTAAAATTATAGTAAATAATTAAATAATCCTCATGTTGTGTGCCTTGCATCACTTACTCACAAATACTCGTATTAGCATAAAAAAACACTGAGAAAAATTATAATTAAAAATACAAGGTTGCGCCAGCGATATTAAAGTTACTTTCAACAAATTACTCATGATTTTAATTTGTTACATCAAAAAAATAATATTACCAACTTGATGTGATTCAGTTTTTAATTTAAGCAATTGCAAAAAAGTTATAAGAGACGCTTACGCAAACAATGAAATAAGAAAGCTTCAAATATTAACTCATATTTACTATATATAGCTTTATAATTACTTTTTCATTATAATAACTTCGCTAAATTTTACAGAAAATTCTTTATTAAAAAACTATGAAATATTAAACAGGCTTACCAACACCGCGTTATCGAATCTCAGAATGGTAACAGGCTCCTGCAGATCTGAGGTCAATTATTGCTTAGTCTGATAATGTGATAAACAATAAACCAGTCAAGGCGTAGAGAGTGGTTATGAAGAAACCTCGCAGTTAATAGAGAGATAAAGTGCTCAAGTGCACTGAATCAACTAGCCTCAACATAATAATTAAACAGGTAAGATTTACTCTACTTATATCGTTCAAAGCTTTATAGAGACGAGAGCCGTTCTCTAGGCACCCTGAAGAATTTTACCTAATGCAACTATTTTTTAAGAAAAAGAAACAAAATTTTATACTACTTTTTTCCAAAATCATAAACTCACTTTTAATAGGTAAATATACTCGTAACACATGGTATTTTATATTAAAACCGGAGATAATTTTAAAAATTTTGACGTCTTTATTGCCGTGTCATTAATCTCACCTCTTGCGACAGAAGTAACAAAGAACATAAAAAAGATTTATAAAAAAAATTAATAAAAATATCAAATTTTAAATAAATAAAAAATTAAATTAAATTTTTAATTAAATTAAAAAAGTAATACATTGTGACCGAAAAGCTTTCGGAAATTCTCATTTAAAATTCGCGCGCTGTATATTTTTCGATATTTTAAGTATTAGGGAGACTGTCCTTAATTACTATGCCAATATAGCGCGATCTGTCGGACAGTTCGTTTACGGCAGCTGTTGAAACCAGTTCACCTCAGTAGTGCGTTGCGAAAAAAACAATGGAAAAAAATATTGAACAAAGAGTTTGCATCAAATTTTGTTTTTCGAACGAAATTTCGTGTGCAGAATCGTTGCGAATGCTACAAAAGGCTTATGGGGAATCAGTTTTATCGAAAACTCAAGTTTATGAGTGGTACAAAGCCTTTCAGGACTGTCGTACGACCGTCGAAGACATGCCGCGTTCTGGACGACCTTCGACCTCTACCACCGACGAAAACATTGAAAAGGCAAAGGAAATCGTGTTCAAAAATCCTCATGTGAGTGTTAGAGAGATAGCACGAGAGCTAGGCATCGGTCGTGAGATGGCTCGTTTGATTTTGGTGGACAATTTGTGTATGCGACGTGTCAACGCCCGGCTTGTTCCGATTCACCTCAATTTGTTCAACATTATCAACGATTTTAAGGCCAAACATTCAATAAATACCATCGAACAGCCACCGTATTCACCTGATCTTGCACCGTGTGACTTTTTCCTGTTTCCCAACCTCAAATTACCACTCAGAGGAACGCGTTTTGAATCCATAGAAGACGTAAAACAGAATTCGCAGAGGGAACTCAAAGCCATACCGGAAAGCGCCTATAAAAAATTTTGATGATGGAAAAACTTTGGCATTTGGTATCGCTTCTAATGGAGCATATTTGAAGGAGATAAATAAATATTGATGAAGATTAAGAATTTTGCGTTTTATTTAAAATTTTCCGGAAACTTTTCGGTCACAATGTATGTTCTTTATTGACTGATATATGAGTACAATTAAAATTAAATAGAAGAATAAACCAAATAATACAATCTTGACACAAACAATAATGTTGACCGAGG